ATATTAATAAATAAATAATTTTTAGCCTTTCAATCTTTCTTGTAAAAAATAATTACAAATATAGGAACTTATCCTGAAATCAAAACTTAAATTAGGTAGGTTTGCTTTAGATTTTTTTTAGTCTATATTTACTTTGCTATAAATATCGTAATCTTAAATCATACAGGGTGTTCAAAATTCTACGCGAAACGTTCTAAAATATAAAATCATTTTCTTTGTTTTATTTTTAAATGAAACACTGGAACACACTATATATTATTTTTTTATTGGAGAGTTAAAAAAATAACATTTTTGTATTTAAAGTCTTTTTAGGCAGATACACGCAGTATTATTTCATATGGCGCTTTCAACTGTAAAATACGAGAGAAAAATCATTGGGTGGATTTGATAAAAACTTATTGTGGAAAATGCCGTAATATGAAATAGAAAACCGCGAATATCTGCGAAACCGTTAAAAATTTTGAAATACTCTTAAATACAAAAAAATGTTCATTTTTTAATTGTCCATCTATTGAAAAAATAATGTACAGAGTATTCTATTAAAAAAAACGAAGAAAAATTATTTTATATTTTAGAAAGATTGGCGTAGAATTTTGAACATCCTGTATTATTTTCGATTACCATATTTATAGCAAAGTAAGTACAGACCATCTAAAGTAATTACCTAATATACTTTTGATTTCAGAACAGTTCTGGTATTTTAAATATTTTTTTTTAAGAAATGCTAAAAAATATATATTTTTTATTTATTTTTCAATATCTCTGAAACTATCGAAATATATTTACTTATATCTTAGGATTATGTAAAGTGCCGGACCCTGTATAAGATCGTGGTTTGACTTCAACCCTTTCAAAGCCACCGAAAGGCAGCCCTTTTTTATGAAATCCCAATTGCACAATAAAACTCTTTTTTATTTAAGGGGTCTATCGATAAACCTAACCCAAACCACCCCCAATAAACGCAATAATTTCCAACTCAAACCATCAAAGCGCAAATTCTCGTTTCTCTCTGTGGTATTTTACCTAGCTTCCCCCACCACTGCCAGGTAAATATTCACGCGAGGATTTAGGGGAGAGAGGGGTAGAATGGGACGGTCCGGTATCTAGAAACGGGACATAAGGGGTTGTTTTTTTTAAACCGCGCATAGACACTAGACCAGGCTAGATTGTTGGACAGTGAATAGTTGTGTGGTTGTGCGTATGTAACAAGATCAGTATTTGTCAACTTCGCATAATGTTTTTATTATGCGATTATTTTTACTAATTACCTGAAAAAGCTAGTGATGGATTTTTTAATATAAAGATTGTATGTATGTATATTTTGTAATTCTAATATGCTCTTAATTCCTATGGAAATTTAAAAAATAATAAAACTAAAATTTGTCGACCCTTTATCTTCTAAGTTTCAGTTTGATTTTAAAAAGAATTAAAGAAATATTCTCGAAAAAAAAAAGAAATATGATGTATTGTGAGAATTCGATATTTTTTGATGCTTAATATTATTCATTTGTTATAAATTTAGTATTTAGTTAATATTATAAATATGGTCAATTTTTAATTTTTTTTTTATTTTTTAATTTACCAATGTCCTTATGCAGGGTATCCCATTTTAGTTGAAATCATACAGTATCTCTATTATTAGTGAAGATAGATGAATGCGGTTTGCACAAACCTGTCGCACTTTTTTGTCAAACGGAAGATGTAAACAAAATTTTCATAGTGTTTTTCTACGCAAACAATATTTTTGAAGGTATGAAGTTGTGTTTTTCAAATAGAACACCTTGTATATTTATAAATCATATTGGGGCTGGCTATGAGCTTCTCTTCAATAGAACACCTTCTCTTCAATAGAACACCTTGTATATTTATAAATCATATAGGCTGGCTATGAGCTTCTCAAAAATATATAGCACTATATTTATTTTGACTATTTACTGTAATATTTAAAATATATCATTTTCTTCTTAGTGGGCCGTGATAGATAATAAAATAATCAAAATGTGGTATTTACTATAATATTCATACACATATTAAAACTTTATTTGGAACTGAAATATTTGACTTCTATCTCTGAATGTATTTTTCTTTTTTTTCCATAGCAACTGTTAAAATTGCCTTATATCTATCAAAAATAGTAGATAAAATAGTACTTTAATCGCAAGGGTAGATTAAATGATACTTTAACAGCGAGGATAGGTTAAAAACTTTATTTCTTCTCGCACGTTTCTTAAATGTTTCCATTTTTGAAAATTTTTGTATTCCTTTTCATAAGTTATTCGGGATTTAAATGGAAGTAGTTTGGATATGGCGTTTGTCGCCTCAGCGTGAATATCTGTTGGTAATTTACTTATTTCGTTTTGAGCCATTTCTGGCTCCAATTCAATCAGCAATCGACACGAAAGAGAATTAAAAAATATTGATTCAAAACTGACAACTAAAGAGACAGCTTTATTTATTTGTCAAATTACATAGAAACCAACGCCAACCCAGCATATTTTTTCGACTCGTAATAAATTCCTTGGAATAATAATAATTTCTGAATCTTTTTTTAAAACGTAACTCGCTATGGAAAAAAATATTGTTTTATAGACGACGATAAAATTGCATTATCGTCTCCCGAATATAATTTTAATTTAAATTAATCTTTTCGGTCGACGATAAAATACCATTTAAATTTTAATTATAAAAATAACTAAATGTTATTAATTTTTATATATTAATTATTCTTTTATCAATTGAAACGGTTAAAAATAGGCAAAGGCAAAAAATAATAATTATTACTTAAAACACCTATCATATGTATTAGTAAATTGGGAGTATATAAAGCCCTAACAATGTGCGTGATAAAGTTTAGCTTATTGAGGGGGCGCTAGAATATTGTGCTTGAGTGGTTTGACATTTTGGGTTTGAATAATGAATTATCTGCTATTTTTGTACGATAATATGCTTACAGTAAAAAGGAAGATAAGAACTTGTTGAAACTTTTTCAAATTTCGACAATATTTTTGTGCATAACATCAACTAGTAGAACACGAAAAGTAGCAATGAAAATGTGAAATATATACAGGGTGTCCCAGAAATAAGTGCAAGTATTTTAAGGGGTGGTAGATGTGGCCAAATGAAACATATTTTCTCTTTACCGTTTTTAAAATAAATTAATAATAACCGAGTTATATAATTTTGAAAATTTAAAAAATAATGGCAACATTTTGAGAGCCGCCAATAGCAATCGATAATCAGCCGAAAATACCAAGTAATTACCAGAATCTCAACTTGCTTTACACTCAGTGTTGACAGAGAAAGATCTAAAAACGACTTGGAAAATTCAGGTTAAAAGCAAAAAACTTACATAACATTAGAAAACCAAACCAGACCAGAGGGTGCCAATTAAAAATCAAAAGTTATAGTCATTTCCGGTGAAACAGGAAGTGACCGAAAACAATTGAATACGTCAATCAATCCTAATTTATATAATATACAACATACCAAATCTCGTTTTTTTAACTGAAAAAATAAAAAAGTTATAGAGGTGAGCCACTTTTGAGACGCACCCGGTATAGCAAGAAAAATATAAAATTCTTAACATCATTTTTTTTTCGCAAAAAAAACCTCCGGTTAAAATACTTGCACTTATTTCTGGGACACCCTGTATTTCCACATCTTTTCAAATAGAATCAGAAAAAATAATACGAAATCGCGAAAATTAGGTTTTTCTCAAATATCTTCATAAGTTATCGTGTTATTTAGATTAGAGGTTTAGCAATGTGCAAGTTTTCTCTTAAAATTTTTTCATCTTTCTATCTTTTCTAGTTCACGAGATCCCTGAACCCTGCTTTCTTAACATAGGACACCATGCATTATACAGGGTGTCCCAAAAATAAGTGCAAGTATTTTAAAGACTGGTAGATCTCATTAAAAGAAACATATTTTCTCTTTATTGTTTTTTAAATAAGTCCAAAATAAGCGAGTTATTTTTCTTTGAAAATTTCCAGAAAAATGATTTTTTGCTAAAATTTTGAGAACCACTGGATCTTTTCTGAATTTTCTTTCTTCTAAATTTAATCTAATACCACCTAATGAAATTATGTTTTTTGGTGCCCGGTGGCGTAGAGATACAGGCTCTCGTCTACCAATCTCAAGGTGTGGGTTCGATTCCCACACCCGGCATTCCATCAGCCGACTATTTTTATTAAAATAAAAATAGTTTGGGTACCTAGGTCGACTCAGCCTTAAATGAGTACTTGGGATTCACAATCCTGAGGTAATAATAGGCGGTTGAAGCGTAGTGCTAGCCACATTACCTTCCTTGTATACCGAACGGCTCTAGTACTGTACCTTGCTACTCCCAAGGCGTTAAACGCTATATACGGGAGCTATTATTATATTATGTTTTTTAACTAAAAACTAAAAAAATTTCAAAAAAAATTCTTTCGCGAAAAAAACCTCATAGGTGTGTTGAACTATACTACCAGTTAAAATACTTGCACTTATTTCTGGGACACCCTGGATATATTGCGCAAACAGATCAAAAATTGCAGTGTGAAATTCCATTGGCATTTCCTATTAAAACAACATGGTTTTAGGTCTAGGTTTTTAAAATCGAAAAATATTTGTTTGTAGATAAAAACTGTAGCAAATAGTTTAAAAATAACCACGAAAACACGCCAGTGGCGACCTTTTATCACAACAGAAGAATTCTCTAATGGTCTAGTTTGATATTCGATCGGTTTTTAATGTCAGTTTAATTTTTTTCCAATTTACAACAAAACAACATCTATCAATTGCGAAAACAATTTGTTTCAAGTTAAATAAACAACGGAAAAAGTTGTTTCGCCATTAGCAACAAAATCAATTAAAAATGTATCAACCCAATTTAATTTTGCGAAGGAGCAAAAGTTAATAAACTTTAATTAACACTGGATAATTGACAAAATTAATCCATATTTTAACTGAAAAAATCATAGATAATAAAAGCACATCTTTTTTTTCAGAAATTGCATTTCTGTTATTCCATCCTGTTAATTATGGCACAAGCTCAACAGTACTGCCTGAGGTGGAACAACCATCGATCAAATTTGCTCACTGTCTTCGATGAACTGCTTCAAAACGAGTCGTTCACCGATGTGACGTTAGCTTGTGATGGAGGCAGTCCTATTAAATGCCACAGGATGGTCCTTGCTGCTTGTTCTCCATATTTTCAAGTAAATAGACAATACCTATATATATATATATATATATATATATATATATATATATATATATATATATATATATATATATATATATATATATATATATATATATATATATATATATATATATATATATAATTCATATCAAATAAACTTTTAGTCACGTGATAAAGCTTGACCGGCATGCGCAGCGTTGCCACTTTTACATATTTTCTTTTAATCAAAATATTTTAGGAAACAAAAATAAATTAATTATAAATATATAAACAGTTATTATTTACATAAACAAAACTCACCTCCTGAACAGCATTTAAGGGACATAAAAGGTCATTACGATTGCGGCGAGTTTTTACGGCTATTAAGCTATCTTGTATACTTCGCACTAAAAGAGGTTCTAAAAAGAACAATGTTCGACTGCAAGGTCTGCTAGTAAAAACATTTAAGCTTAAAGTATCAGCAGCACAATTCATTTAAACGAAGCACTCGTAATACAAAACTATAAAGTGTCAAAATGATTGACAATGTCAGGAAATAAATAAATAAATGTGGCAACCATAGATAAATGAAACAAGTTTCGATTAGAAAGTGCCCACATAGGGACAATGTAGACACTATTTGGCGCTATTCTTGCAACGGTCGCGACCCAAAGCTTTTGATAATTTCGGATCGGTTCGGCTTTTTCCGGAATTATGTCGCCAAATTTTATTTATTCAAATTTATTATTATTTTCTTTTAATTTTATAAATAAAATACAGTGTGTTGCACACAAAAAACTTTATTTTATATAAGGACATGTATGTGAAATACCTATAAAACATTGGAAACCGACGTTATGCCACGATCCAAGATGGGTTTTTTTGCAGTTCACAGTTCACAACACAGTTTTTTAGTTTATAATACCACTTTTTCACAATTATCACGGGTTTGAGTAAGTAAAATTTAAATAAAACTCACAAAATAGCAATAATTACTTTGAGAATGGACGCTTTAAACACTTTTCGGTATTTTTTCAATTGGGGCTGTTTAAATTTTGAAAGATTTTATAATTTTTTGAAGATTCTGACTTTGACAAGAGAAAATTATTTCTGTTATTGTTTGCGGCTGTTTTTAGCAACCTCTATAGCAGCGTCAGATCGCGTACAATGGTCGCGACCTAAAACAATTATATATTTTGACGCTTTCCAATCTAAATTTATCTCTTTTATCTATGATGGCAACTTGACATTTTTTATAGCAGAGCTACCACCTGAATTCCCAGCGAGAAATTACGTAACTAAAAGTTTAACTGGGTATCGACTATATAATTTACTATATTACTAATTTCTGTTCGATATTCTAGAACCTGTTCATAGATTTGCCATGTAAACATCCTGTAGTAGTATTGAAGGACGTAAAATACAGTGAGATCAAGGCCATCTTAGAATATATGTATAGAGGAGAAGTAAACGTTGCTCAAGACCAACTGGCAGCGCTTTTAAAAGTTGCCGAAGCTCTAAAAGTTAAAGGCTTAGTAGAGGAAAACAGGTAAAATTATGAACCTTACACAACGTAACACACAATCAAAAATAAAAAATGTCTATACCTATGTGGCGAATTCATCTCCCCAAAAAAATCCTTTATGGGTATTTCGCCACTGCACTGCAAGAAAATCTACAAAATAAAATAGTTATTTTTCTAACACTTCTAACACTATAACACTTCTGCGTTAAACCTAAACGGACACTGCTTGCCAGAAGTTATGTTTACAGTTATACAAATTTGCCTAACAAAGAAAAAAATGCTTAACGTTTCGGAAAGTTTATATCTCTTTCCGTCGTCGGAAGCAAAAAAAATACAAAGAATAAAGAAAAAACTATTTAAAATATTTAAATTCAACTATTCGAGAACACTTTACTTTTTTAAAACAGATACGTCTACAAGAAATCGTTGACGTTCTGTTAAAATGACATTATATCAAGTTAAAATCTTTGGTTAAACTTCAAAATTAACAATTACTACCTGATAACAATTACTTAATAAGGTAAAACCAAACCCAAATAACTTTCTGTATGATTGTTTTTAAATTTTACGTATGTTATGTTTATTTATGTTATGTTCTTTAAAATCAAAGAAGCGATTGCCATATTGCGATTGGTTTCTTGTAGACGTATCTGTTTTAAAAAAGTAAAGTGTTCTCGAATAGTTGAATTTAAATATTTTAAATAGTTTTTTTCTTTATTCTTTGTATTTTTTGTTGCTTCTGACGACGGAAAGAGATAAACTTTCCGAGACGCTAAGCATTTTTTTCTTTGTTAGGCAAATTTGTATAACTGTAAACATAATTTCTGACAAGCACTGTCCGTTTAGGTTTAACCATAGTTTAACGCAGAAGTGTTTGGTTTGGTTTGTAACTATATAAAATAACTATTTCATTTTGTAGATTTTCTTGCAGTGCAGTGGCGAAATACCCATAAAGGATTTTTTTTAAAAACAATCAAAAATGTCATTTTTAGGTCATGTAAGAATCCGAAAGATGAACCACCGACTGCAGTGAATCATTCACCATCGATTTCTACCTCAAATAGCATCATACAAAATCCCGTTCACAGTAGTAGTCATAATTCACCACCCCATTCCACAAATTCAATGTACAGAAATCCTTACAGCTCCTATGACAGAAAACCACAAGAACACAATCATTCGAGAATGAATTTACCTATATGGGCTGTACCTGGTTTACCTCTACCACCTCATACTGCATCGGTAATTTTTACTTATTTTATACATGATTTTGAATATGTAATCAATTGTAGCGTTTACTGATAGGTTCCAAGCCAAACGCATCCTCACGCAGCTGCAACCGCAGCAGCAGCAATGCTGAACAGCGCCTATGAAGCTGTTAGCTCGGATATGTCGCCGCTGAAAAGGAAGAAGCTGAGCAGTTTACTGATGCAGAGAGATACCCCGATCTTGAGGACGGTACTTGGCCAAGGGCAGGCAGATTCGTCACAACCTGTCAGTTTAGTTTGCCATCCCGATAGCGCCGATCAGTCTTCAAACGACGAGAGAATTATTAAGGTATGTTCCACGCAAAATTTAAAGATTTTTGTATTTTATAAGTATCTATCTTCCTCCTCTCTTCATTCGTCAGATTGATGAATTAATGAGTTAGTTTTACAAGTTGATATAATTTTGTCTAGCGACTTCTCAGAGTAACCATTCTGAAGCAAATCCGGTTTTAGTGACGAAACATCACTTAATGTTGAATTAAATAATATTAAAACAGATTTGCTTGAGAATGGTTAAGTCTCTATATAAAATTATATCAAATTAAAAAACTGACTCATTGGTTCATCGACATGAGGAGGATGCTCTCTCTCTCTCTTACTCACTTGCACGACTATTCCATACGTAAAATGAACGTCAGAAAAGATCAGGCCAATGACTATAAAGAATACAAGGACATATAACACCCGAGACCAAATTGTTACCATGGCCCCAAACAGTGCCGTGGCCATATATAACTTAGCTGCTTGAAGGGATATTTATATTTTTGATGTTTTGACTACACCTAGGCGTAGGCGGTAATTAATTACGAAAAAAACGTATTAAAATGTTAACAAAAGGTACAGTACGTCTGTCCGTTCTGTGGCTACGGGGTATCCGTGAGAGGGGAAACGATATTCTCTCGATGTTTTTCGTAAAAAATTAGACGAGGCGTCCCATCAATAAAAATTCGACAAATTTGCAATAGCCAATAAAACAAGTGGGCGGAGCGATTTGCGGTGACGTACTCGTCAAGTCGACGTATAAAATATATTGCTGTCTATTTAAATGTTTTTTGTCCGCATTCCTTTCATAGACACAGATCGAGCAGACGAACTGTACAGAACTAGTATCGACGTATAGCACATATCAAGTACGTATAGTATCGGAAAAATAATTACCAAATTCAATAAGAAAACGCTAAAAAGGTGGAGTGGACTGTTTATTTACTTATGAAACGCAACTCCTGGCTCTTTCTTATCATTGCGGCCTTTACACTTGAAAGCTGAACACATGCACCATTGTAATAAAGTTTATGCAAAGTTCAGTACACACAACAAATTATTAAAAATCGCTAAAATTTTCGCTGTTGACGAGGTGGTGACTCATCCGTAGGCTAAAAAATGATGGTGTCTAACGTCATAAATTCTGCTGCAGCCCGTATATGGGCGTTACATGCCCTTGAATTCTTTAGTCACTGGATAGCCAAAGCCAATAGCCAATAGCCAAAAAGTATATAATTAAAACTTCAAATCTGGATCGACTCTAATGCTGGGTCCAGACCAAAGCAACAGAAAGTGAACAAGATTTTGAGACGAAACAGCAACAAAAATGAGAAATTCAGACAAGACAAATTTGAGACAAAGTGTCTATACCGCGTGCAACAAAGTTCAGTAGGTATATGCGAATCAGTTTTATTAATCATGTGGCCTTTCCACCAGAATGAAGATAAAGATATATTACTAGCAGCCGGTAGTGTTGTCTTTGACTCGCCATCCCATGTTGCAAAAAGAAATCCCAAATAATGTTTTTGTTTTTATGTCTCTCGTATACTATATAGCTATTAATATTTCTTATTTTCTTCATAACACCATCAACCGAGTTTATATTTAATGCTAAACAAATCTCCTCTAATGCATCAGCTTTCTTGTAACAATTTTTGTAGTCCCTTGTTTTTACCCTCCCATAATAATAAAATTTATTATTTTTTAGCATTAAATGCGCTCTATAAAGCTCTATTAGTTTGCAGGTACTTTCCGTGTTTCACTTTCTCTCTTCTGACATTTTTTTTATAAAGATTCACTTCACCATACACTAATACCATATATTAGCAGTACCAGCACTCCACAGTACTAAATTTGTATTAAAATTATGAAACTTGTCGTAAAATACACGACAAAACAGAGACTCTTTGAACTTTACCGACTCGAGACCGGACATTCAAAAGTCTCCGAATTTGGACACAAAACAAAAATGTCGCAGAAATGTATTGAATTTGTCGCTACTTTGTCGTAAAACATAAATGTTTCTGTCTTATTCCTGTTTCGTCTGCTTGGTCTGGACCCGGCTTAAAAAGCGTTCTAACAAAAACAAGGCCGGATTCTTTCAAACAAGAGAAAGAGTGCATCTACAAGGAACTTTGCGAGTGCGGTGAGTCGTATATTGGAGAGACTAAACGTCCTCTAAATGTAAGACTTAGCCAACACAAAAAACATGTACAAAAAGGTGAAACAATGAAATCAAGTATTGTGGACCATATTTGGTCAAAACAGCTCAATATAAAGTGGTCAGAAGCTTGGGTTGTCCACAGGGAACCATTGGAAAAAGCGTAAATTTAAAAAAGCTGTTTTTATAGCAAACAATAATTAATTACATATTTAGCAATCCTAGTACCGAAATATCTACGATATGGCAAACACTGATAAAACGCTCCAATGCAGGCATTCTAAGTGGACAACCTCACGGTCGACTGCACCCTTTTTTTTCTCAGTAATTCTTCTGACCAAAACGTTGTGTTAATCAAAATAAATAAAGACAATGTAAGTCCGAAATTCAATTAGTTTCAATATCTATCTTTTGCAGCATATGAAAAATGAACCATCCGAAGATGCACAGTCTCCTTACACAGAATTCACTGAACGAATCAACGACGAAGAAGAAAAATCAAAACTAGCCATTCCCTCTTCATCACCTCAATCGTTCAGTCACGACGGCAAAAGTACTATCGGCTCAGGTATAGCTACATACGTACCGGTCCAAAGACCTGAATATAAAAGATACAAACTATATACCAGAGACGATATCATGTCGGCCATCGAAGCAGTGAGAACGGGCATGTCAGCTTTACAAGCAGCAAGGAAATACAAGGTACCTTCCAGAACTCTTTACGACAAAGTGAAAAAGTTAGGTATAACAACGAGCAGACCGTTTAAGAGAGGCACCAACGGGAGTTCAGCCTGTTTCCCATATTCTACCGGTTCTCCTTACGGAGGATATCTGTCGGAAAACGATGAGAACATCAACAATAACTCCGCTCTCCTCGAAGCGAGTACCTTCCTTCAACATGCCTTGGATAGCCGAGGGGGAGAGGAACGAGAAGCTCTGGCCACGATGGCCGCAGCTGCCGCAGCTCATGCAGTGGCGTCGGGCCATTCCACCAGTCCTAACAACTTCGGACAGGCCAGGAGTCCTAGTCCGAGTATACTGAAGTATATGAGGCACAGTAGCCTGACTCCTTCACCTGCAGCACCTAGTGAACACCAGCACAGCGATCAAACCAACGGCAGTTCGGAAAGAGACAGGGACGAGGAAGAGGACCAAGTGGAAGATTTATCTATCCATAGAAAACACGAGGCTATGGAATCGCGCGTGATCATGCCGCCGATGAATCAAATGTCTGCCATAATTAAAAAGGAGGACCTTCTTGTCGACACGATTAAGGAAGAGATGCGACGAGAGATGAGAGTTGATAGTGAAGCAGATTAGAGGTTACGTAGAAAGATATTCAACCGTGCAATATAAAAAATCTGTGGTTGATAACCCGTACTCACTTTTTAGTAGGTTTAGATTATATATACACATGCAAAAGAAATAGATTTAAAAGTTAAACTAGCTTTAAGACATCGATGATGTTCGTATGCGACTGAGTGCCTGTTTCTTGTAGTACATAAAAATGTAAGAGTTTGCACAGTATGGGGACCAAAATTCACTGTTTTGCTACAATAGTTCCTTCTATGGGAAAACCGTAACTCATAAGACTGATAGATTATATATTTCCTTTTTATGTTATGAGACTGACACTATAAGTAGGACAAAAAGCAAGGGGTAGGAAAATGGGTCTGCATACTTTGCCGAATAGTTAGTTTTTAGTGTTTGACGCGAACCGGTGTTAATTTGTTATTAATCTTCTAAAGATGTAAATAATTTTTATATATTATATGTACTTGGAAAAAGTATATATAGTGCGCAAAGAGTTGTTTGAAAATAGTTATAATTGGGGAGCTTTAAAAGTATCTACAATATTTTGTTAAGCCTTTTTTTGTGTGAAAATGTATAAACTATTAATATTGCTGAAAGGACTTTAGCCTAATTTACGATATGATACAACCGCGATAAAGTTGTATATTAAATAAAAACCTTCGACTAAAAATTTTTAAAATAATTTTGTCGATCAATGTGATTGAAATTCATGTTTGGAAGCTAAAGATAGGGTTTTGGGTTTTAGTTGTAATTTTATAAGAAATAATTTCTAAATGTTTTTTAGAATACTTATACATTTTTTTATTGATCAAAATTCAAAACTACGGCCTGAATATAAAAATCGCATACTTAGTATGTATTTGCTCAGAAGTGCTCATTTTTCAAAAGTAAACTTACTAATAGACGTAATAAGTATATTATGGTCTACAGTACGTCCCCGGATTGTGTTTGCTAGAGGAGTTTTAGAGAAAATTAAAAAAAAGCATGAAAATGTTCTATGTCCTAAAAATCACAACGCCTTTCTATGTTAATATAATTTCGTTTTCATTCTTTGATAGATTATTATTGATAGAATTTTAATTAACGTCATATTTTTTGCTGTTTTAAAATGTTAAGGAGGAAAAAAAATTATTTAGTTCAATGCTACGGAGGTGATAATAGTTATCGGAAAATATATGATAACTTTAACAACATCAAAAAATATAACATCAATCAAAATTAATTATAACGATCTATCAATGAATGAAATCGAAATTATATTACCATAGAAACGCCTTTTGATTTTTCGGGTTTTCAAAAAAATCAATTTTGTTTTCATGTTTTTTTTTAAATTTCTATAAAACGGTATGAAAATTTGAAAAAATATAAACGAGATAAACCATTTTAGAAGAAGCAAAAATTTTTATTATGCATTTTTCTCAAAATGTCAGTAATAATTTTTTTCTCTCTCCTCTTGTAAAGACAATCTGGGGACATACTGTATAATAGATCAATAATAATTTGAAAATATTGTTTAAAAATTATACAAAATATTACAATCTTCATGTATTTTGCCTCTCATTCGTTTAAAATAATAATTGAATATGAAAATAAAATAAAATATTAACATGAGAAAAAATATTTTTCACATAAATATTAAAAAATAATACAAAATATACGTAAATTTACTGTTACCAATTCAAACAAAAAGTGCAATGCATTTTTGCCATATTTTTTTAATTTAAAAAATACCTTATGAATAATAGTACCCTATATACTTTAAAAAGAAAGAATAGTTAAATATACATTCTACGTTTAATTGTCATAGACAGGGTAAAGAGATTTAAAACTTTCATATATTTTATTCTGCTTGATAGAGAATGTCTACTGGACTAGTATATAGATTATATTATGTAAGACTGATATTACTTTGTTGTTTGACTTGTTATTTCACATTTATGTTATTGTAATGTCTATATACCGGGTGCGTCTCAAAAGTGACTCACCCCTATAACTTTTTTTATATTTTCAGATAAAAAACGAGATTTTGTATGTTAGTATATGACATAAATTAGGATTTATTGATGTATTCAATTGTTTTAGGTCACTTCCTGTTTCACCGGAAATGACTACAACTTTTGATTTTTGAATGGCATCCTCGGTATATTTCTATTTTATTGGATAGAAAATGACACTCTGAATAGAATGTCATATGATATGTTAACTTTTGACGTTTTGGTTTATTTGAAATTGTAACATGTGGTTCATAAACGACAATTTGACTCAAAATCAAAATACCAACTGTGTGTGGTACCAAATTATTCGTAAAAAATGCTTTTTCCAAATATGCTAATGAGCCACCCTTGTTCTATTTAAAAAAATTGAGATATAATTAAAAATATGATTTGGGCATCTTCGGCCAGGATAAGACACGATAAAAACATTAGACGATCAAATCTATTTTTCCAAGGCTCCTTGATTAAAAATTACTGTTTTTAACACAGCCATGGCTCTCTAGATTGATATTTAAAATACGATTTTTTCGGAAAAGTTGACATATTATTATATATGTCATTCAAAGTGTCATTTTCTATCGAATAAATTAAAAAAATATAGAGGCTGCCATTTAAACAGAAGTTCTACTCATTTCCGGTGAAACAGGAAGTGACTAAAAACAATTGAATACGTCAATCAACCCTAATTTATTTCATATATTAACATTCCAAATCTCGTTCTGTAATCTGAAAAAATAAGAAAGTTATAGGGGTGAGCCACTTTCGAGATGCACCCGGTATATGTACTGAAAAGGATGTGCGTATATAGAAAATATTTTAAGAACAACTATATTTTGAGACAAATTAAATTAAATAATTCATATTAATTTTATTTATTGCGTATGAAACGCATATGAAAATAGTTTTGTTTCAAATCTTTTGATACAGCGGGAATTGTGGACCAAAATACTATTTAAATTATATCTATTTACAATTGAAATTGTATATTTCATACTGTGTGTGCCTTTCCAACAATTTAACACTATATTGTGTAATTACTCTACAGTATATCCATTGCCACGATGCACCAAACACAAAGAAGATGCCTTATTTGTTTGTGCATCTTGGCGATGAATAAACTATAGCAATATTTTTTTTAAATAATACCTGGAAGATCTATATTATGTTGACATTCCAATAGATGTATTAATGTTATCGAAAAAAACACGATTTGACTGCAATTGAATTTTTACTAAAAAGAGATAAGTACCTAAGTGTAGCACTCACCTTTTTTCAATTACTAAACAGGAAGTAATGTTTTGCCATTTAAGTTAAGACTGATTATACCTATTATTTGTTATAATTATTGTTGTCAAGTATTTTTTAGAGTTTGTTATAATTTTACTTTGTACTAATTTGTGCAGATCTCCCTCAGACTAATAACCGTTTATACATATATCTATATATATACAGGGTGTCCAAGAAATAACTGCAAGTATTTTAAGGGGTGGTAGATCTCGAAAAAAGAAACATATTTTCTCTTTATCATTTTTCAAATAAGTCCAAAATAACAGAGTTACTTTACTTTGAAAATTTCTAAAAAAAAATATTTTTTGCTAAAATTTTGAGAACCACTGGATCTTTTCTGGGTTTTCTTTCTTGTAAATGTAATTTACTACCTATGTTGCCATATTATCAAGAAATTATGTTTTTTTTAACTAAAAACTAAAAAAAATTAAAAAATTTCACATTTTGAAAAAAAAATGTTCGCGAAAAAAACCTCCGAGGCTTGTTTCTGGGGTTGAACTATGCCACCAGTTAAAATACTTTGCACTTATTTCTGAGACACCCTGTATATTGGGTGATTCATGGCGATGGCACGTTATAGACATTTATGGAAAACCCGTGATAGAAATCTTTTTTGAAAATTTAAATTTTTACTTAAAGACTAAAATATGTTCAGCGTTACAATGTTGCCGCATCGTTTGAAACTTGGTAGCATCTTTCTTATTTTAAGTGGAACGCCCGGTATATTATTACATTTTTGGAAACTACTTTCTACTCTTTCTTTTTTTAAGATCATGTTTTTGTCAGTTTTTTATCTCAAAAAATGGTTTGATTAATATAATAGAAAAAATATCAGATATGAAAGTAGTTTCGAATAATGTAAAAATATACCTGGTGTGACATTTAAAATAACAAAGATAACCTACCACTTTTAGTATGAAGTATAATAGTAAGAAATAATTTAGACAGAACAAACAAGCACCCTTTATGCAAAAATCCAAATTTAAAAAAAATATTCCGTCACTGGTTCTCCATAAACTTCTACGTACCATGGCCGTGTAATCACCCTGTATATTATATATTTTTGGGGGATAAACTCATATTATCCCTTTATCTATCTACCTCATTATTTTTTTAATTAGATTATCTTCGTGTTGTACATATCAGATTTTTTATATTAGTTTATATAGAGATAGTATACCGTAAAATAAAATTATTTCTTAAAAATGTGTTGATTTCTAAATTTGAATAAATTAATAGCGTATGATGGAAAAAACATAAATAATTGAATTTAAAGTCTACTCTGTCATAAAACTTTCTGGACATAATAATTTTATCAAGAATAAACATTACTGTTGCTAAAAAAAATTCAAAGGTTATTTATATTTTTTTCATCCTACCCTCAATATACAAATTGTTTATGAGTGTTTATGCACTACCTATGCACAAGTATGTAGAGAGACCATTTTACTATTAGCGAAATAAAATAAGACGGTATATTTTAACTTATATGCTTTTCTTTCATTTTGGAACCCCATTCAATGCTGTGGTCCAACCAATACCTTAATTTTAAAAGGGAATTCCACGACGACCGCATCATAAATAACCGGTATAATACCAGGAATATACCAGTATTTATCAGGAATATATCTACAGAGATGGGCAAACACCCGGTATATCGAAATTTGGGTAAATACCCGATATGTTTCATCGGGTATATACCCAATGAGTAAATACAGAGCACATTGAATTTGGGTAAATGTTCTATAATAAATTTTAAAAACAATCTTCGTTAAATTATAGGACAGTCAGGGGCGGATACAGGAATTTATTTTAGGGGGGGGCCAAAATGAAAAGCAATGTAGAATATGTTTTTTAGGGCGCCATTTTTAACCCAAAAGCCTAATATTTTACACAATTCATAGACTTTAGGGGGGGGGGCCGGGCCCCATGGGCCCTCCCCCTGTATCCGCCACTGAGAACAGTGTCCCCAACGTCTACTGTTAAATGCATATTATTATTGTTTATATGGTATAATATACAGTAAGAAACGCTCTTTTAAACAAGCCGTCGCCCGTTGAATTCCGATATAACCCGGTCAGGAGTTATTAATATTTAAATAAAAACAGATATAACCTTCCCCCACCGCTTTATTTTAGGCAAAATTCTTTAAACAAAAAAAAATCCAGGCAAAATTTTGTAAAAATCCATTTTACCCCATTTTCTTATCGATGTACTTAAACGGCCGTTAAACGGTAGCATACTAAAATACCGTTAATAGATATTGTTACGTCGCCGTTCATGTCGGCGGAAAGTAATGCCTAGCCTTAAGCTTTCTGCAAGAGCACCTGTGGGTCAGTGGCTGAGGCTATCGCTTCGTATGTATATATATATACATATACGCTTAACAATAATGTTGCGCTCTTACACACCTCTACTCCCACCCATATACCCCTCAATGGCATGACCCCAACGTATATAGATATAGTATTAAATAAAAATATTACTCAATATATCCAACTATCCACAAAAAATGAACTTAACTCCGATCATCTTCCGGTATTTTTCTCAATATCAAGTAATATTAACACACAAAACTATACCAACCTAGCATGGACATACAATAATACCAACTGGGATCAATATAAAAATCTTATCAATCAAAATCTTCAAATAAATAATAATATAAGCACAGCGCAGGACATCAATAGAGAGGTGGAGCGTTTTACTGACTTAATTCAAAACGCTCGAGCTTCATTGGTAAGAAAGTGCTATCAGGCCTAGAG